ACACGCGAGAAGATCGACTACTTCCCGCCGTGGCGCCGGAAGGTGCTCGCACGACTTCGCGGCAAACATCGACTTCGCGCGCGAATACGAAGCGACACGAGTTACTTTTTAACCAGATTAACTCTCTCGGTTGTATCTCCGTCCTGTTTCGATTGCTCGTCTAGTATGAAAGACGAGTTTAATCGTTTTACGAGCGAATCCATCTTCGATGCTCGGTTGCGTGGAAGAAGTTTGTTTTTAGATGATCAGTGCTTAGTAGCGTCGTAGCAGGTTGTAACAGAGGCTGACTGCCTACGTATTTCGTATATTTTTCTACGATTAACCACGAAGACAAGAATTTCAAGAGCTTGCTATTGACTGGAACGAGTACGATAAATTCTCTTATTCGTTGTTACTGATAATAATCAGCCTATTTTACGAGCTACTTTATCACGTTAAACGTAATACTACGTTAGGTGGCGTTAATTGGTTAAAGTTATCATAAATCTTACGAATACTGAAGTTTCTTTAATTTAATTTTTTTGATCAACTGCGACATCGTTGGTCGCTGATTATTCCTATGACAGTTGACGTATTAATCCGAGAAGAAATTTCGACAGAGTGTTCTTTAAGAATTTTTATAGATTCGTCTAGAAATTTTGAACGATTATATTAATCGATCAATGTGGTTACCAAGCACTGAGCATCTCCGCAGCTCTTTCATCCGTTATTAACCAACGTCGACAGCCAGCAAATACAACACAAGCTGTCGTTCTAACGTTTTCTAACCACGACGACTAATTCCGTTCGGTCGTTTAGTGGCTTTCTGATAATTTTTAATAATCACTCCGTGTCTACTAATCCTTGATACTCCTCTTCATCGACGACCGCGCGCGTCGTCGTGCCTCCACGAGACAGTCTCAAATGATTTTCTATTTTATTTCAGAAATAAAAGCAAGGAAAAAGCATGCAGGTAAGAAATAATACGCATGGAACGATCACTAATTAAATGGAGCTATAGTTTAGTGCATGCGTCGGGCCGATCTGTGGAGTAGACAGTGTGTTCGGTAGAGTGGTTTTTCATTTTTCTCTAAACCTGGTACACTACCACTTGTTTCTATTCGCAGTATTATTCTTTAGACGGAAAGTGAAAAGATTATTAGGATCCGTATTGGTAACGTAGAATTTTCACTTTCTACTTCGAAACACCTTTATAGATCTGCGACACAGGATTATTCTATGACCGAAACGAAGAAAATTGGCGTTGCTCGACTATCTTTATACGCGTAGCGTAACTCGCGAAAAATGATAGCAGAGGCTCGATTACTTTCTTCCGTCAATTTTCTCCTTTCTTATAGATGAACTCCTAGTCTCGAATTTCTACAATTACACTTTACAACTGACGCATCTATCCCTCGCACAAGTCTGCGTATCTCGAAACAATTGCCCTCTGAGGTATCTCACAAAAATCTTGCTCCTCGTTAACAATAACCTCGTCTTTACTCCAACGCCATTTCGTCTACAACGATTACAAAAAGTATTGGCACACGCCCTTCTCTTTCAATGAAGCGTCTCTTCGTCAGATTCTACCTTTCGTCTTCGTAACGTGAAATGTTTACTTGGTCCCAAGGAATCAGCGTACAATTGCTATAATAAATACAACGATGCGCCAAATACTTCCTGTAATCACCGTAGATCACCATTGACGATGAACCAATGATACTATAACGCGAACAATAAATTAACGATACCAAGAGACCTCCTCGTCCAGAAGATAGATTCCGCTCTTTGATCGTCCTTGGACTCGATCCTAGCCTCCTTCGCTGGTAGATGCATGCGACACGAGCCAAATTTCAAACACGTAAAACGTTGCAGTGCGTTGCAACGTGTGCAACAGACGCGCACTTGCGTTGCTCCGTTTGCCAGTGGCACGTACAGTTCCCTTAGGAACGGTGATTTAGAAACAGCTAAACGCAACGAGCAACGTATACGCGCGGCAAGCGTTTAGCAACGGCGATGATTACAACGTGGTAACACGATGATTGATTGAACACGCAGAGAAAGATCTTGGTTTCCTGCGTATTGGCTCGCTGAACGTACGCGTGAAACGTACGACGGAAGCGTTCAGCCAGTTCCTGGGTGTGGCAACTAGCAGCAGCGCCAGCAGCAACCACGAGAAGATACACAAGAGCTGGGGATCGGCGGATAATGTGCAGGTAGAAGAGAGAAAGAGGGACGATCGCGTTCTCGAAAATTACCCGATACCCGGCCTCCTTTCCTTAACCCTCTATAATTATTCAACCCTTGGACGAGCGCTCGCCACCATCGTACCCCGCCTCCTCCATCGCTGAATATTATGAATATTACGCGACGAATCGCCAACTCGTTTAATATTAACGCTCGCTTTCCATGCAGAAGGAGACGAAATTACCGTGTAAGCGCGACCACCGTCCTCTTCTTTCAGATGACACTGGATTCATCTGCAAGTCGCGCGTTTTTTACATAGGAGATGGTTGATTCTTTCGATAACAATTTTCCATTTATAGTTCCCTCTTGTCTTCCCCTCGCGCAAGTATTCGATATACAGGGTGGTTGGTAACTGGTGGTACGAGCGGTGAAAAGGGGAGATTTTACGCGAAAAAAGAAGTCGAAAATATAGAATGAACATTTTTCGCTTGAGGCTTTGTTTTCGAGAAAATCGACTTTGAATTTTCGCTCGGTACGCCTGCACTTTATCGCGTCTCGTTATAACGCATCTCACTGTAGATCGTTGTCTCGATGGAAAAATTAAAAAAAAAACAATTTTTATTCTATATTTTCGACTTCTTTTTTCGCGTAGAATCACCCCCTTTTGTACCACCAATTACCAACCACCCTATAGATAATAAAAATAGTAACGTACGTAATTGGTGGGATATTGGGTTAGCAATAATTAAGTGATTGCGGATTTTGTCATTAGGCGGTATTGACAAAATCCGCAATCACTTAGTTTCCAACATACATACATAATAGTAGACATAATAGTAGACAAAATAATAGACAAAGGTTGAAGAGTAGAAAAAAGTAAAGAATTTGCAGAATTCCGGGAAACTATCTAACTTAACTTAAGGTTATTAGAGAAAAATCAATTTCCTCGATTCTGGCAAATTGGCTTGGCAACTAAGTGATCGCGGATTTTGTCAATACCACCTAATGGCAGAATCCGCAATCACTTAGTTGCCAAGCGAATAATATAGCAGAGAATATCATAAAGTAACACACGGTTTATGAAAGTAGCTACAGAATCGAGGAAATTGATTTTTCTCTAATAACCTTAAGTTAAGTTAGATAGTTTCCCGGAATTCTGCAAATTCTTTACTTTCTTCTACTCTTCAACTTTTGTCTACTATTTTGTCTACTATTATGTCTACTATTATGTATGTATGTTGGAAACTAAGTGATTGCGGATTTTGTCAATACCGCCTAATGACAAAATCCGCAATCACTTAATTATTGCTAACCGAATCCGCAATCACTTAGTTGCCAAGCCAATATAGTAGAATCGCCTTACAATGCTTAACCCGACGAAACGCTGGTACAATATCGTCCAAGGGTTGTGATTCTGCCATCGGAGAAAGATTATTAACGATTGACAAACAATTTTTCTAATTTCCACGAAGTTGGAGCAGAAGATGATGCCACCGCCTAAGTACGCGCCCATCAAGAAGAGAAGAAGCCGACGAGGGCAGGATTTTGGATCGTCGCGAGATCATCAGGCTGCCAGTCAACCGAGCACTCCACTGCTTCAGGGCAAGGCTTCTCGGTCGAGTCAATCGATGCATCGTCGACCGATCTCCACGACAGCCGTCAGTTCCGCCGCGCCCAAGACGCAGCAGAACAACGACTCGGACTCGGATACCGCGTGTGGTTTCGACTCCGCGTGGAGAGGATCCGCGCAACTCTAGGAGAAACATTTTATCGCGAAACTTCCCTTCTTTGGTATCGCGAAAGCCCGAGGCTCTACTGATTCACCGTGTACCTTGCCTTCTGGTCTTTTAAAGTAACAATTTTTATCTATCTCTATTTTTATCTCTATTTTTTATCTCTATTTTTATCTCTCTCTCTCTCTCTCTCTCTCTCTCTCTCTCTCTCTCCGATTAATCGATCAAATTGTAATTACTGAAGCGTATTATGTTCAAAAGAAAACTGAGAGCAAATTGTTTGAGGAAAGAGTAACGATGATGGTAATTGACGAGCTTAAATGTTGGACGAGCTTGGAGTAACTTTTCGTGGATTGTGAAAGAATGTTATTCGGAGCTACGAAAGTATAAAATCAGGAAAAAGATCACTCGCCCTATCGATCCGACTAATCTGATACGACAGGGGTTTTAAAGGAATTCATTTTTAAAGATAACTCCCGTGATGATTTTCCAATGACATTTTCTTAAGTTACAGAAACGATCTACTTTTTAATATAATTATTATTGTAGAGTTTGTAAGTGCCTTAATTTAATACCTGGAAGCAATGCTTTAGGTTTATCGATGCATTCTTTGCACAAAAGCCAAATCAGCGTGTTTCTGTCGTAATTGTGGTAACGAGATTACGATTCATTCATACAGGGTGTATTGCGCACAATTTTTTGTGAAATACTTTTATCAATTAAGAATGTGAATACAGTCGATGTACCTAAATCGTAGTGAATAGAAATTGCAATATCCTCTGTGTTCTCGTATTGTCGATGAATATATTAAATATTTGATCGTAGATTTTCTAAATGAATTGTATAAATAATTGTTTGGAATAATAATAAATAATAACTTGACTAATTGTAATTGCACATACATACTTATATGCGTAATTCGTATTCCCTATTAGATTTACTGCAAGTGTCCAATGGAATTTAATAAACGATATACGCGCCATCTCTTCGGGTGCTCGGATATTAGTTTCACTAACAGCTTCCTGAGTTCTCTGCTAGATTTCGTGTAGTTACATTGCCAAAGTCATTCAACTTACGTATCAACAGATGTCGCTAAATAGTTATTACGACCATATCATCAATGGAGTAGTTTTACGCAAATATGTTTACGAAGGAGTTGAACTCTGAATTGTAAATTGTAAGGATTTGTTAGTTAAGGCATATGCTCGATAAATTTTGCTTTACTTTTTCTAAATACTAAATCTTCTAAATACTTTTTAAATACTTAAAGTGTAAATATGAATTGATTTTATCGATTGACTGTTTTCAAATAAAGTGGAATATGTGGGGTTATATTGGATTTAGTTAGATATTCCTTTCTTTTATTAACGAGAATTATTTTTTCTTGGCCATGTACGATATATGCCATCCTAGTGTAAGTGTATTTAAATAATTTTCAAAACCAGTAGTTTTGAAACTAATTTGCTTTAATACCATTAGTATTTTAATATTGGAAAATTGGGTTGCATCGATCCTGTGAAAATAAGTACAACGTTTTACGTTTATATTGAACTATGTGAAGCAAAGAAATATTGGGAAGTTGATTATAAATACAATGAAAAATTGGATTTATTGTATTTAGAAGTACAAAAAAAGAAAAATTCACAAACAGAAATATATGTACCGTGGCCAGCATCGTGCAACATTTCTCTTGATACGATAGAAAAGATACAGACAGGTTTAGATGTTGAACAGTAAGAGTAAAAATTGTTTACACATTCTGGCGATTATGTGGTCATGATTTATGAATTGATCTATGTATTTTGTAACAGGATAACGCTTGTTTTTAAATTAGAAGATAGTACAAGCATTATTTACAAAGTTAGTAAGGATCTTGTGAAGCCTGTAGATCCAGAGAGAACAAAATTAATGAAAGAGAAGGAGGAAAAAAAAACAAATTTAGAGAAAGAAATCAGGAAAAATACTTCGTATTTGTATGAATTAGCAAAATCATTAACTGCAGAAAATGCTAATGAAGATAAGGATACAGATGTAAGCCATAGCAGTAAAACAACAGCTGAATAAAATATGCTATTTTATTTATTTAATTTTCATATTTAAGTGGTATCGATATTCTTCAAAGAGTTAAAAGAAATTAAATATAAAATTGTAATATGTTTCCCTTAAATGTTTATTATATTGAAATTATGTTTGAAATATGTAGAGTTAAAAAGTATACTAAAAATTATGTAACTATGTATTTAAAATGATATGTATTAAGCTGCCACTGCAAATGTGAATATTAAATAAATTATTGCTTAAAGACATTTTAGAAGCAGTTTCTATATTAACACATTATCTATGTGATTTAATAAACACTGCAAGTATGAGGCACATGCTGTTTCATTACTTTCTACTATCCATAAAGATAATGAACATTCTAAGCTAAGGTTAAATCTTTTGATAATTTTATGTTGTTTTGTATGTATAAAAATACGTAACGAAAGTACATTTTAGTACGGTTTCTACTCTGAGTGTTGAAAATATATCTATCTACAAAAAAAATTTACGACACTTGTATTATATACATCTTTGAATTACTATTTTTTGAACGACATGATTTTCATTTTTAACATCGTAGTATATATAAAGAACGTCGCTCTCGTAAAAACTACTTATCTGTTTTATCTTAATGAAATATTCTTTTAATCGTATTTATGCTATGTATATAGCAGATGTTCCACGATAAGTGCCGTTTGATATAACTAATGAACGGCAGGTGACAAAATACAAGGAGACTTTTATCATCGGACATTATGTAAAATGTCGATATGAATACAAATTTTACCTTTAACTTTTCAAGGTCATGCTGTGGCTACTTCATAGATACTTTAAACATTCAATGCTGTAAAATTTATCGTATGACAGACGAATATAAACAATGCGTACTTTTCTATTTATGTTTACCTTGCTCTTCATACAACAAGTTTTACAACATTAACGTAAAAATATCTTTTAACCTGATCATTTCTCAACCCAAATACCTTAATACTTTTGTAGAGAATTAAAAGAATATGTTGAATAGCGTATGAAAAAATGTATGCTGCCACTTAAGGCAGTAAAGATGACCTAGGCATGACCCTGAAAATTTGAAGATAAAAATTTTTTCACGGTGACATTTTGCATAAAAAATGATGATAAAAGTCTTACATTCTTGTCTTATCACCTATTGTTCAGTAGTTACATCGAACAGCACTTGTCGCAGAACATCCTGTGTGCATCGTTTATGTATATGTATACATACATATGACTTAAGTATTATAGAGTATATAATTAATACATTGACAAGAAAATATTAATTAATACAAAACGAGTGATTTTTTACATAATTATGTAGTTTGGCAGTTCGATACGTGGGAGTAATATAATGTACTACGAATAAAATATAAAAATAAATATTTTTTAATTAATAACAAAACAATATGTCTTGTTATCTTTGTTTCAAATCTTTTGAAAATTCAAGTCAAATCAAGCAATTTGTGACCATTTACCTTTATTGAAATAGAAGTACTTTTTATGGATTGTAAATACGAATATTTTCAAACATTCCAATGTCTGCATATTTTCTTGTCTATTATACAATAAAAAGATATAATATAGTTTTCAATGTCCGCGTATATTTGAACTAAAATTGTATTATAGTTACTGAATAGATTTTAAGATCTACGTATGAGAATTGTATAAAAACAGGCACATTAGGAGTAATGTGTTACATGAGCACCTTTGTATAAATAGGTTTTCATTTCTAATATACACAAGGTCTCGGTATAAAATAGTTACCAAACAGTTATTAATTTATTAGTGCATTAAGGCAACTAGAATTCGAGCTGTACTCGAAACTATCACAAGTGATACGATTACTTTTTTGTTTCACAATTTTAAATACTGTTTTTGAGAGAATGATTGATGATTTCAAGCTTATATGACTAAGTTTATAATATAAGAAAATTTCAAATGAAACCATTTGACATTACTATCACAGTATCCCAATCAGTAAATATTATGATCAATCACTTATGTTATTCTTTTGCGAACATACTTCAGATGAAAATTGTTTCATAGAAGTGTAATTTAAGTCTACATAGATAATGGTAAATATTGCATTAGGTTCCATTTAAAAAATTCTTTAACATAAAACTTGTATATCAACTGCTAAATGAACGAACTCGATGGATTGACAATATTGTTACAAGAGAAATTACTACTACAGGTGTGTGGTTCTTAATATTAATTAATGTATTATATGGAAGTAGTAAATTTACTGTTTTAAATAAGCTCATAAAATGGAACAAAAGAATTCTAAAAGGGCATCAAAATAATCTTAGTATAAAACACTTTCAATAGCTAACACATACATTTGTGATGATTGTACAGGATACTCATAATTATCCACAAAATCAAATACATAGCAAAAAAAAAAAAGAAAAGAAAAAGAAATATATGAAAACGAATTGAAAGGAAACGAACTACAGTGATGTTTAGATTAAAACATAAAAATGATTACTAGCAGTGTACTAATATGAACTTGAGATGTTACTCTTCTGATATAGTGTTATACATCAAGCTAAACTATTGTACTTATAAATCTTATTCATTATTACTTTTCAATGTTTGGTTACATATTTACAAGGTATAGCACTAGAACACCACAAGTATTCTATCACATACTGAAAACATGAAGATATATAACTAGTTAAAACAATAAAATGGATAAGAGGATTATAGGAATCAGACCTGCAAAAATTTGTTCATTAAAAAAGAAAGGTTAACATAGGGACACTGTCAAGTTAAGTAAATAAATGGTCGTGTTAATAATTAGGTACACGTGACTGATATAATTAATGCGTCCAGTGTTAACTTGTCATTATGTTGATCAACATTGTTATACATAGTGCCATTTCTTCATTTAATTCCCTATCACATGAGCATGAGCAAATACAACTACGTTTTGATTTATTTTCTGCAACTTTATGAATTATAATATGTTTATACAGTGAATATCCTTTATTCTATAAGGACATTGTTGTTGAGTACTTGAAAGCTATATAAAAATGACTGTGCTAAGTGAAAATTGTGAAATAATATTTTAAACAGATATCATTTCAAATATTTGGTCAATACTTCAAATCATAATTACGACATCTAGTGAATTTTAATTAAATGGTATAAGTCTTTAAAAATTTAAATTCCAAACTGCTGTTTCTTATCAAAATATGAACATGCTACGAAATTACTTATACAAATTTATGTTTCTTTTCTGGTCATACAGTTGATTAAATCTGAATATTATATCCAGATATTTTAAATTATGATTATTCACTACATTGCGTATTGGAAACAATCGTGATGAGTGTATAACTACGAGTTAAAAGTCTGACATTCATACATATTAATTAAAAACCTGAGATTCGTATGTTGAACATAATTTTTTAAATTCTATATGCCTGATTATATCGTGATACTAAAAGTAAAACATCTGTACAATTTAAACATCCTCTGAAAATTAAACAAATACATATGAAATTAACAGTGTTATTAATTGTGATTTGATTGCCCTTAAAATGATGTTGAAAATATAATAATAAATGATTTGCGTATCAAATTTAACAAAAAGACAATTAACATTGTTGTTATGGCTAGCACCAATCAGCCATATATGTAAAATCTTTAAATAGACTTTGTTCTAAATCACTAAGTGGTCTAGGATCTTTAGGTGGAGTTAATTGTGGCTTTTCTGATGTAAATTCTTCGTCAAAATTACTGACATCTTCCACAGAATGCTGAAATACAAGTATAATTTTCATTTACCGACAAATATACTAATTGGAGTAAAAAAAACATGAGAAAAGGTTAATACTTACAATTACTGGAACAAATGGTGGTTTTACGCGTCTTAAAAGTAAATCATCCCAAGCTATATGCCTGAAGAATGCTTGTTTTTTGACATCTTCAGCATCTCTTTCACTACTACCCAATCTTCTATCAGGATTTTTTCTTAGTAACTATAATTAAACATAAATAGCGTAAATTATTTATGTTCTATTTATTACCTTACTAGAAAAAAATATATTTATATTGTTCTTACCCTACGCATTATTGCAATTGCTTCTAACGAAAGAAATCGTGGATAACGAACTTCGTCGTTCACAATGGAGTCGAAAACTTCTTCTTCATCATCACCAGGGAATGGTGACTAAATAAGAAGATGTTAATTAGTAATATAGTGATCATAATGCATAATAAAATAAAATTGGATAAAATGCTTACTTCACCAACGAGCATTTCAAATATTAATACACCAAGTCCCCACCAATCAACAGCCCGTGTATATGATGTTTCAGTAAGAACCTCAGGAGCTAAGAATTCTGGAGTACCACAAAATGTTCCTGTTCTATCTCCATATCCCATTCCTTCCTTACACAAACCGAAATCCGCAATTTTTACATATCCTTCTGTATCCAATAGTAAATTATCTAATTTTAGGTCTCTGTAAATTGAGTAACATCATTAATATCGCATATTTAATGTAAAATATCATACATAATTTTATTTAATTTTTATTTATTTAAATATGTACCTATAAATAATTCGGCTTTCATGCAAGTATTGCAACCCTAACACAACACACGCTGAATAAAATACAGCTCGTGGCTCTCCAAACACATCTGCATGTATATGCATCATAAGATCTCCTCCAGCTGCATATTCCATTACAAAACACACATGTGCCTATAAGGAATAAAACATTAATTTTCCATATTCTGACTAAAACATTTATCGTAAACATAACTAAAATAATATATACCTCAGTTTGAAAACAAGCAAATAAATTTACAAGGAAAGGATGGCGTGTAGCGTTGGCAACTTCAAATATTCTCTTCTCTGAAAGTAATGACTCTACTTCATCCCTTGCTATTATGTCTCCTTTTTTTAATGCTTTGATTGCGAAGTATTCTCCTGTATTTCTGTATTGCGATAGGATTACTTTTCCAAAATGACCACGGCCAAGAACTGATAGTAGTCTAAAGTTTTCTATAGTCATTCCAGTAAGTTGCGAGTGTCTTCTAGACTCGTAGGCACTGTCTCTATATTGAGCAGGCTTGTTCGGCATTTCATATACAACCTATAATCGTTAAAACGTTTAAATCGAAGTACCGAAAGATAATGATTAAATTTATATTAATTACTTTCATATTAATTGATAGTATGTATATATATGTTAATCATAATTCCAATTAAAAATTTTTAGTTATAATACAATGCATATGTTATTAGTATATTTTATAGGTAAGATAAATTTCACTTATTTAATAGACTTCTTTGCTATTTTATCAAGAAAAAGCCCTAAAGCTGTTGAATAATCAAGTATTTACGACATTAGCAGTAAGACATCTATAGTTGATATAAGACATAAACATGTACAAGTACAGTATTAAAAGCCATGATATATGTAATATGCACATACAGACATGCAAAAATTTTGGGTACATGCTTTTACTAAAAGAAATATTAATATACCAAAAAATTAATTATATTTTATTAATTTAATAAAATGAATTACAAGAACTTAGAAGAACAATTTTATACTTTACGTGTTAGTACAGAAGCACAAAAATTAAAAATATATAAATAAAGCTGCGTGTATTGGAGGTATATACCTCATCTTCAGGAAACTCGACGACAGGTTGGGGCGAGGGTGTGCGTGGAGAGGGTGGTGCAATCAGCACAGGACGAGGCTCTGTTACAAGAGGCCTCAAATTTGCCCCCTGAGGACCCCCCTTTTCCTCGTTGTGCAGGAAATCAAACTCCCTTAATGCACTCTGTAACTACATTACTATCTGCTTAGCTCTAAAAACTACTTTAAGTTGCAATATACTTTAAACTGTCACCTAGCAAAGTTTTACATAATTAATAATAAAATTGTAATAAACATTTTGAATCGAATAATTTATATACTGAGAAAACAAATAGATCCAATTATTGAAGGGAGTTTGCTGCAACTTTGTTGAAGGAGTACTAAATATATTGCACAATGCATATTGCAGAGTACCTTTTTCATGTGGGTGCTAAACAACATTGTAAAAATTACTATGCATAAAAAGCTAAGAATTAAAAATACGATATAAGCTTAAAGTAAAAAACGAATAAACAATTTGTACAGTTTAAACATGTAACAAGTTGTTGCCCATTATACATCGCGTTCTAAAATTTGCAAGATTTGCAAGATAAAAAAAGGTATATTTATAGTATATTCGAAGCAGTATCTTGCACAGTTGAAAGTATATAAAAGTATACTAACATGCCTTGATAAAGTACATTGATATAATACTATATACAAACGTTAGCAAGTATATCGGCTCAACTGGATATAATATATTGTATGCATGTGTTTTTTTACCCATAACCATAGTGTACCAAAACCCTAAACCTTTTAAATAAAAGAAGATACTAGATAACTTCGAAATACTTCGTAATATGACGGACAACTACAATATCGCTAAAAAAAAGTACAAAATATAGTGTACAACTATCTTCTATATAACACTTTGGTGAGTATAACGTCGTTGCAAAAAAAAGTAAAGAAAAAAATAATGTATATTTTGCAGGACCTACTTCTTGATCTAATTTTGGTGGCGGTGGAGGTGCAGGCATTGAAGGTTTCTTTGTAACTGTAGGTGGTGGTGGAGGAGGATGTTCTGGAGGACGTGGCAGTGTAGGACTACTACTTGAAGTTGATAGTCCTAAAGGTCTGGCTCCACCTAAGCCTCCCTTTTCAGGATCAGGCAATTCCCCAGGTGTTTCGGGTTTATCTTCTAACGAAGTATCAAAAACAAGTTGCAAAGGTTGAGGTCCTAAAAAATATAGATTCGTACAGCAGTCATGTGCCAATTTGCTGTAAACGTAATGAAAAACATGTACTTACCAGATGGCGGACTTTCGGAGTTTCTTGTATTGTGTAATGAAGGAGCTGATCGTTTCAACAGCCTACCCCAGGTTGCAACGTTAATGTTCATTTGATTAGCTCTTGGGAAATTCTTCACCTGTTGCTTAAAGATCTTGCGTTGACGTTGTAATTTAGGTTTTCTCGAAATCATAGGATTCAAGAACTTAATTTCAGCAAAGAGAAGACCTTGCGGCTCCAATTGTAGAGCCATTCCGTGTCTCACATCATCGATGAACTCTTCTAAACGTAAAAATTTTATAGCACAAAGAGATCTCCAATCTTTCCAATAAATGCCTATTTCAAGTTCTCTCGACTTATCTAGTTCGATGGAAAACCTATGAAAACAATGTATTCATATAAACTAACACTTCCGACTTCTTTTTATCATAAAACGGAGTATAAGAGTTTAGTATAGCTCTAACAGAAATATGTATACAATAAAAGAGTACCTTTGGTCCCAAGCTTGTTGGGAACACGGTCGCCAACTAGTTTGTGCTACTGTTTGATTATCCAATTTAATAACTGCCATGATATCATCTACGATAAATACAAAAATGAATGAGATTCAGCTTTTCATAAGAATTTGTAATATTTATAAAACAAACTTACTACTTGTTTCATCTTTAACACTGTACGATTTGCTCGAACTGCGTCCTGTAACACCTTTAACGAAACTACGTAGATCCGGACTTGCTGGGTGCTCTCTTCTTGTGCGACCAGGCACTTCTTCTGCCAGGTCTTGACACCCCATTAATCTTACCTAAAATTATAAGTACATATTATTGAAGCAAAAGAATTTATACGAAGCTATCGTTATAAAATATCTTTTACCTCTAATTGTCCAGTTACAGCAGCACATCTTGAAACCGATGCAGGCACTGTAGCTTTACCTTCCAGAGGACCACGAAACGGTTGTAGCGAGGTGTAGGTTACAGGAACCGGGCTAGCAGATTGTACACTAGCTAATTCTCTCTTCAATTGAGCAGCAGTACCACTGTCAGGTGGTAATTCTTGTCTTCTAAGTTCAAGGGATAATCTCAATAGGTCCAATTTTCTACTTGATTCTGCCAGACTTGCTTGAGCCTAAATTAATTCAGGAGAAAATATAAGAAAGAAAAATTCGATGTTGAACAAGTACTCACAGAGGTAGGAATAAATGAGTTACGTAACGAAGTGTAATTACTAATATAATCAACGTTTATTAACAGCATTAAGTAATTGCGTGTATCTGTTAGTTTACATAAATGCTTTATATTCAGCAGAATGTTTTAGCAGATGCTAACAATCATAAATAGAAAAAAAAGTATGATATTTTATTCAATAAATATAACTTAACACACGCGTTATATGTTACAAAACACAACCTTACAATATTTTCAATACAGTTTCACCAAGAAACAGAAAATACTATTAATAATGATACAATTTTTAAAAACTTTTAAAAACGCGTTAATGAAGTATTGAGTCTCAGGATTTGTCATTTTTCGGGATCGGGCGAAATATCCTCTTTTCATTCTGTAAACGATATCCCGTTTGACGTTCGAATTCGCTTACAGAACAAGCTCGTGAATTCAGTTCCTCGAAATATCTTCGACAATGTTCACAGGAACAGGAGGGGTTCTTGGAAGGTCCTATGTGATGGCCTGGCTTTCGAAACGCGTTCACTACCGCGCCGAATATCGAGGCCTTCAAAATATGGTCGGTTCTTTCGCCCTGAGGCGTCATAAAGGGAGAAGTAACTCGCGAAGGTACTTTCGATGGAAGAGGGGAAGGGCTTTTGGAACCGAACGAACCGATTTGATTACGAAAAGTGTACGGATGGGGAATACTGTCGCTACGGGTCGTGGAATCAGAATGATCTTGCTGTAAATTCTTTTGCTTCAAAAGCTCTTGTTCCACTATACTAGCGCTTCTGTCTGTACATTCAGTGATTGGTTTACTTGCTCGTCGTATGGTCGGAACTTTCTTAAACATTCTTTGATTATCCTCGCTTGATACAAAACTCCATCCAACTGTACCACTTTCGTCAGATTCCTCGCCACTGTCACCCGACGACCATCCTATCTCATGTTTCTTTAAATATTCTTTCATCTTTCGATTTTGCAACAAATATTTGCGCTCAACTTCTGGTGAACGCCATTGTTTCCCTTCACTTCCCGTCTTAGCCCATATTTCTTCAATTCTTCGTATTCTTTCGCGATCCGAACTGCTCGCATACTCAAAGCTATCACAAGGGGTCAAGTCTACTTCGTTATTTATCAAAGACTCTATGTCGGACAGAGTATCTTTAGATGAAGTAGCAATAGTCGAATCATAATCAAATGGAATGCCCGCGTTAGAGGACGCAGCTGACCAGGGCGCTGAATCGAGATCTCTAAGAGCGCTGTAAGAACTGAATTGAGAAGGATAAAGCGAGCTGAGGACGTCATCACTATCATAGCCCTTTGAACTAGCTATGGAGGGCATCCTCATTGGTGCGTGTTTAAAGCTATCGCATCGTCGTTCTGTAGCACGTTTCAAAAAGGCCTTGTCATCTTGAAATCCTCTGGGCAGAATGTTACTTGCTACTTGCGTATGGGTGACCTTCACGTCCGGATTCTCGAATACGGTCATAGGAGTATCGCATTCATTCTCAGATGTCGTATCGGTGTTCTCATCATCGTCAGAGCCGGTGCAGTACACATCGATGTGCACGGTTCGTGATTTTCGTTTCGCGCTGTCATCTCTCGTTGAGGAATCGGATCTTTCCGAGTCCGCTGAAGGACCGACGCTCGTGGTCTCGGATACTGTTGGCGATTGATTCTCTTGCTAAAATCAGATACACATAATACGAACCTGTTCATCTTTCAGGACAAGAAGATACAACTTACCTTCTTCTTCTTCTGCTCGTCCAACGGATGGAGACCAGTAGCCGCTTTCTTTTTTACTTTGCTTCTGCTGACGATCGTTGACGAAGATTCGTAGGATTCTATATCCGTCGTTTGCGAAGAAGCGTCTTTACTGACTGTGGTCAATTTGGTCGTAACTTTTTCCTGTACACTACTGCACAAATGCGTATCATGTACGCTGGAAACGGTTCCCTCGGAGCACTCTTCACAAACTTCCGGTAACGTACTGAACTGCTGACGCGAAAACACATGTTGATGCGTCGAGGGATGGCGCCAAGAATTGTCGTACGAATGCCTGATGGTTTCACTGCTTGCTATTTTGCTGAAACTCTGTTCCTTCGAACTGCCTGCAGCATCCACGGCGGATAGTACGATGCTGCATGTGCTCTTGCATCGACGATTGTATTGTTGAGAAGAACTGTTGGAAGGACGACGAGAAGGCAGACTCGAGTATGATTGAGGTGAAAATTGCCCGCTGTTATAGCCTGAGTCCGAGACATTCACACTCCGTCCTCTAGATGACATAGAATCGTCATTCCCAGACGAGCCTGATCTTGGAATCGTGAAGTAGCTTGGCTTTGGAGGCGGCGTCGAAGTAAACACGATGTTTCCTCGTTGGAAACCGAACGAGCTGGAGGATAGGGGTGGGCCAGAAGTCGTGACGATTGGAGTTGTCGGTAATGAAGATGATTGACTGGTATTCCATCGATATATCATGCGAACACCACTCGAATCCGTGACAGTTGAAGACATGCTTATTGGTACCTGACTGGATTCCGAAGTGACCGGTGTACCATGGCGAATCGTGACTTCTGCACGCACCAACCACGGCGGTGGTTGCGTGTTATTCGAGTTACCTTGACGCCCGTACATGTTGTAGCCTTTTTTTTCAGCCTTCTCCACGCTGTTATCCACCGCAAAACATCATCGCCTCGAGCGTTTAATCGGTTTCGCTGCGAAAACGCATTCGCACAACCGTTTCTCTCCTCCCTTGCGAAGAGAATCCGACGTTCTTTCGCTAGCGCCGTTCCGTTGCACATCGATTCGAACGATCGATCGCATTCGCGAAAGATGGAAGCACCGCGCTGCTATTTGTTTCCTTTCTCGATGTCGTTTATTTTCCACTAGATTTCAACAAGCTCAATCGTTTAACGACTCGTTCCACAGCAAGCAAATTTGTTATGCAATTTTTTTGTAAAAATTGATTAAACAATTTCAAAGCAAACGAAAGTATTTTCAGAGCGTATTTCACAAGTGCATATATTACATAGTTCTTCGTAAAAGACGGCAATTCTGCGATATTGCGTCTCCGTGATCTATTTTCAGAAACAGTATTACTGTATTCAAGTGATTTCGGAATCTCTTGTATCGTTTCAATATTACGTATCGAAATTGTAAAATAATCTCTTGTTCAAAGAGCGCTCTTGCATCGTAGCAGCACACTTTTCATGAAATAGGAAGCTTTCTTTTCATCCTCGTTAAAAAAAGATTTACGCAACGTTATGATCGCGTTATCGTGTTAACGCGTTGTTTTACTTGAGTTTACGTTTATTGCTGCTCACAAATGATTTTCAAATATCGAGTGCAATTGTCATCGTTTGCTCGTTTCTCGTAAGCAGCGACGCAAGGTATAATTAGCACAATATAAATTTGGAGCAACGTACAGTCGGACCAAATATACCTGGAACCAGATGATACTTTTAATAAGGCACCGTTTGCCGATTAGTCGTTTCTACTGACAGATACGTCATGCATATCGAATATCAATTTTCTTCAAATAAAAAAAAATTACTAATACTATCCAGTTAGCCAGTCTGAATAAATGCACGGTTTCCTTTGTCTTAATCTTATTCGACTCTTCGAACGACGAAATCGACTCGATCGAAGTAGCCCTCTATATGAGCTTTGGGTCGAGTATTCTCGCCTCCACAAATGTATAATTATTCAACGTGCAACATCCTCTATTTCTGTCAGTCGGTTTCCGTCGTGGAATTCAGTGTGCTTCACAGAAAATCTCGACGTTCTAAAAACCAACGGAAGGGATATCGTACTGAATGACTAGGAACTCGTTTTTTGAGCTTTTTAAACTTCGATCGCTTCTTGCATCCACAGGTATATCTCTAGACAACGGCAACGATATCTCGCGGAACAGACACGTCTGTCTTCTTGGAGTGTAGCAAATTGGGTGCAGAAGAGTGCGACGTCCAACGGGAGTATAACTTTGGGCGGAATCGAGTCAGTCTTGAGATTCAGGTCATAGTTCGGTACGATGGCGTGAATTACCCACGAGTTATATGCCCAGGAATGTCCAAGCAAAGGACACAGACATTTGTTGAACAGTCAGTTCGCGATTGATTGGCGCACATGTCGTTGGTTTATCGCGTTGCTTACGACTGGGTTGTGCCAGCTCCCCTCGAAAGGTGGTAACTAAGCGCGACCCGAAAAGGCGTCATAGAAGACGACGGGGTAGCGGGGATTAGGCAGTGCTATTTCGAGACCGGTGCGTATACGCTACTGCTGTTCGAACTCGACGTAGTCGTCTACGTCGAACACTTTCGTGCGACTTGGATACACAGAAAATCGTTAATCTACTTGGCGAGTTTGATTGTCGGGTCTCTCGTTTCGATTTGCGTCGACCACGGGATACAATAGTGCTTACGTTAAAACGACGATATAATTTTCAAGATCAAACCTTTTGGAGTCTCGTCTCTGTGGTCCTCGACTATGAATGAGATTTTATAGATAGAAAGCGATGCTAATGAATATTCTTCGCGTAAAAGGCGTGCATGTTAGCTGTTCAATGATACGATGACTTATAAAGGACAGCATGTCTGTTAAGTAGAATATAATATCAATAGCTCCCTTTTGACAGCGTATCTCCGTTCTGTCTCACAAAAGCTTTTCATTATCGAATGTCAGTCCCTACGTGATATGTCATATCATTGCATATATTGAACAGGAAATGATACATACCTCCGTTAAGGCCTTCTTATCGGCGACTTTGGCACTTTGTAAAAGACGTATCACGTTCTTAGCCCCTTCTACAACCGCAGCTTCGATCCGTAAACGATGTCGTAGTTCCTCCACCCTTTCCTCCAACGCGAGCTCCAAGCTAGGCTCGTACCTATCTGTAATTAGAATGTTCGATATTATCGACTACGCTACCAATATACCTTTCATCGAAATATCTGATCGAACGATAATAATTAAAATTCTTACACGATTCGAATGGCGTTTCGTGTTCATTCGAACATACATTTCCCTAGCGGGGAATAGATATTGAGAGCTTACAGAGGTACGCGAATGGATAGCTTGTTATAACACAACTGTATTGGCTTGATATCTAAAGGCAAAGTAAAATTGCTTTTGCGTCACGCGAGACTGCCTGCTGGTGTCCTCTTCGAATGGTTGATTCTTTTTCACTGCTCGAATGTACTGCATGAATCGAACGAGAAGAACGATAACGATGGATTTTTTTCACATCAAAGAGATAAAGGTTACGTAGCCACATAGTGTGTACATTTTGTAATTTTAATACATATGTACATATACGTATAATCGAATAAAATATTAAATATAAACGTCAAGGAGCTTCCATTTACAACGATGCTTTGCGGTAACAATGATCGTACATCGACCGGTAACGCCTCGACCAGAGGCGTACCAAGAAATACAATGATGCACAAGTCCAATATAGTCCATGGGTTTTATGCTGTTCATTATCAAGTTGGTAACTATAAAAGAGGAAGCATTAATGAAAAATTATTAACGCATAAAGTTGCAAGATTCAGGAAGGTTTCGAGTTTGGTAAACGAACATTCCCTTTCAATCGTGAGAGAGCAACCATCTTTATGAACATCCGTTGCTACTTCCACTAAATTACTACTATATTTCATGGGTGGTATGTGGCCTATATTTTAGCAGTTACTATGATCCAACCACGTAATGCGCGTAATACTTCGGCATGAGTCATGATAGCGTATCCCGAATAACTATATGATATAGTGAACGCTAATTGGCAATAATTACGTCCTTGAAGTGACTAATTTCTTATCTGCACCGGTTAAGGCTCTTAACCTTAAGCAATTCGAGCACTCAATAGAAGAGACAGCATGCTCAATTTTGTACCTTTATTGCTAGTTGTCTCGCCATTTGGTGGTGGAGCATCGCGTGCATGCTGTTGCTGACGAGCTTGCCGCACTTTCATTATTCGCATGCGTAGGAACTCGATTTTGGCGCGAGAATCGTCAAGCATTTGTTGAGCCTCCTGCAGTAACTTTTTATCTCTACCACTTGTCAAACTCTGAATCATGTTTTCCGCCCCTTGCTTTACCTGAAATATGAGCAGAAAAACAGGATCACTATGAAGTTCGAAAAATATTTGATTTCTTGATATAACTTACACAATTTATAAGTAATAAAAATAACTATGTCTGATAACGTTACATTTATAAAGCGGCAGTGATTCACCTTTTTAAAGAAAAATTTCGGCATTTTTGCTGCTCTCTCGGCGAGATCTGATAAGCGACTACGCGTTTTCTAAACATTGTAAGTATTCACCAGCTCGATATTTAAACCTATTATACTTTGAAATGGATCGCGTCATATGACGTAGGGATACGATTTCGCTTCTACATATATCGCCGCAGACATTGAAAATTCGTTGACATTTCTAAGCTGGCGAAAAGCCAGGATCAATGACGTACATTTTTTCAGTTTCTCCAAGAAATTATTCACAATATTCTCATTTTTTTTTCTTTTCTAACTTTCAACTTTAATCCGTAAGTAGAAATTAAAATAGCAGGATCTAAAGATTACTTGAAAAGCGACAACAGTACTCCCGTTCGTTTGATCTCGAGTTCATTTGATCAGATTGATGTTACGAGTGCAAATAAGATTATAAAGAAAGTTCAAAGCCTGCTAACATTGATTAATGAAAATCTCCCATATGATGAAACGAGAAGCTATCTTTAGTGAAGAAAAAATGCCGACGATTCACTGCTGACTCACAGAATGAGAACGGGCTAGAAATGTCTCGCCTGTAATCATTCGTAAGCTGATTACGATAGGAACAGTGCGACTATCACTATGCACATTATTAAGATACACTAAACAGATATCAACCAGTAGCGCAGCATATACATAAACATTACCATGATGTCATAATTAGGTTAATATCCGTACCTTCTTTAATTGATATTTATAATTTTAAAAAATATCTAGGACTATAAAATTTAGACTAATATAGACTAGAATAATTTAGACTAATATTCAATTTTAATTACGAAATTAAAATTAATATTCATCTAATCGATTGAGTTATGGTCTCAGCTATTTTTTTCGTAACTCGTAAGATAATGATACTTTTAATATTTTTGTTTTTCTTTTTTTTAACGATGTCTACCTTGAGTTCGATATTGAGCTGCTTCTCCAAGGACAAAAGACGAAGATCCGTGAATAGACCCTCCTGACTCGGCGACGACGGCCCCATTGGTGACAGAGGCGTGTCTGAAACGAAAATAGGCGTTGAAAATAAAAAGCCGCTTCTTTATCCACTCTAAAACGTTTCGATTATAGGAAAAGTAAATTTTGCAATGAATTTTCTTCAGAAAACTCTAATACCCTCCATGATTTACAATCTCATTCCATGGTATTCAAAACAATTAAACATTAAAAATATAATAAATAACTAAGAACGATATCCTATTAAAACACGATTTAACGTGGGCGTCGGTTCGCACCAGTACATCTCGTTACATCTATGCAAGCGCCTCGAGTGTCCAATAGTGAAATCGCAAGGTACTCGAATCCCACTTCCTGTAACCCACTAGAGATATCTCCGAGGCTAGCTAAGGACTCCCACGTATTTAACGCTGTCTCAAGCACAATGCGAGCGTAGAAAAAGTGTTAATCTTCTTTGTTTCGCGTATACAGACGAGCACACACCGTTGCTTGTCAATTTCCCATCGCCAGTTTTCACTGGCACTGAAACCTGCAACGTCAGTCGACGTTGTAAATGTTTGACGACCATAAAACGAAAATCCTTACGGTAATCGCCTCAGTTCTCATCGAAATCGTAAAATTAATAGCTGCTCGCGATCGGCCATATTACTGCCTCTCCAAGCAAAGGGAAACACGAATACAAAAAACCACGTAATTGACGTATGATTTACGTAGATCGTTGGAATATGTAACAAAAATCTGCATGGAAATTTGCGTAATGCTTTATACACAAACATGATCTTCGATGGTAAAATCCTAACATCTATACCTACTAGCAAGGTTTAACGTTTATCCTTTGTGACGCGATTCAACTAGCATAAATCAAGGTCGTGCGCTGTGAAATCACAGACTATCCGATTTGCATAAAAAGCAATTGATATTGCCATTAAAATATAGGTACGTGCGCTATTAAGACACGTGACTAAGAAAATTTGTCGACGATATCGTTATAATTCTGTATCGATCTTTATAGAGAGTTATTATATATTTCATCGGATTCAAAGAAACTCCTACGAGCATTCATTGCACAAGTCGCGATCGTAAAAGTAGATCGCGGCAAAGTAAGGGCGGAAACATTCTGAAAAACCAGTGTCAGAATTATAAGCGGAGTTTCCGTACAGACCGGAACTTCAAACAATTACAGTAATCAATTCCACTTACGTAATTGTATCGCCAGCATTTGCGAAACGTACGAGAGTCTCGTTTTAATATAGGTACCGGACACGCCTTGATACTCATATTTCTTTACAATTTCTGTTCGAATCATAGTGAGGTGACGCGATATATACAGCCATGTTTCCATGGCATACAATATACAGTTTCCTGTGTACGAAGTATTCGAGAACGACATGTCGATACCTCGTTTACATGTCCGTTGAATTCGTGGCCTGCGTGGCCCTGAGTGCTAGTGTGTGTGTGCACTATATTCAAAGGATTACCACGGACGCACGAAACTACGCGAAATTTCTTTCGAGCTCGCCGGACCGTGAAGGCCCCACGGGAGAGGATTTACCATCGATATTAAGCGGGAGTACGAGTGCAGATTTAGCCAGCCGCACGGAAAACAACGGTAACGACGTGAAGAAACGTGCTCACCGCCGACAAAGAGACACGTAAACGCACACACGACGCTTATGTATAGGGACAACCGCACTTGCACTCGTCGGTGCACGCGTTTAGCTTGACATGTCCGAATAAGGCGAACAACGGAACGAAACAGAGAGAAAGAGAGGAAAATAAGGAGAATATCGACCATGGGAATGCATACGAGAGTAGTGTCGGTTCGACTCGACCGATTCCATCGTGCGACTCGTTCCCCAAGAAACGAGAAAGGGGATAGCGGAAGGAAGAGGTACTCGCAAAAGGGTTGTCCGACTGGTGGAATATATACGAGGGTATCGTCGTTGTAATCGATTCGATTCGAGTAAAGATCCTTAGAATAGGAATACAGAAAGGACAAAAAATAAAGGGAAGAGCGCAGAAATGAAATTCACATTCCAAACGTAGTGAATTGCGATATCGTACGCATATTGTTGTTAAAATGTACGTGGTAAGTTCCCCGAGAAACAACACAAGGAAAAGGGAGCAACAATTAAAAGGGGAGAATAACATAGAGAAAAGAAGGTGAATGACACAAGAGAGGATGTCGAAAACGGGGGGGAAAAAAAGAATAATTCGTAATAGAAGGTGGAAGGCGAAACAGTGGAAGAGAGGTCTTAGGACAATGCCGCATCGGAGAGTACGCGAAACCATGTCATTAGCGCAGTACCAGAACACGTGCCCCATTATGCTCCGTTTTCGCAAGCAAGGGGATATGACAAAGACTTTCCTTGTTTCCAGACTACAAAACTCCATACGGTTTGCGCTGTTCCACCCTTTCCGATCTTCCCGTTCGAAACAATGAATGGAATTATTAACGCACTCGTACCACGCTTAACTTTCAAAAACGAAGCAATCGAGATGAGCTGCATTTTTTTCTTATTTTTACCGACCGAGAAGTTGCTATCTTTTTCACCGGTTTGACGAGATAGGGTGCAACGCACGCAACCCTTCGGGACGATAGGAGAAAGGCACCAGTGTATTACCGCGTCTCTTCGTATGTGCATAATTTGCTTGCATGCATCATCTCGTCAGGGACAAAAGCATCGCGTGAAACTTGCTAACTCAACGCCGAGCCATCTCACAAGAATTATATTTTCCTTTCTCGTCTCGAGTCGACACAGTCCTTTCTCGAGTTAGGTATCGTAACTACGAACGTTCTTACGTGGAACATGTTGCATTGCACAAGACGCGTTACTTGCCCATAGGGAGGAATCATATAAAGGCGCATTAAAAAGCAACGAGCAAAGATACGTTGTAATTAGAGAGAAATCGTATGGGATACCGTGAAAAAGGCGCGCTAGATGCGAAATTAAAAATTGTAATCGTTCGACGCTCTAACGATAGACTAGAACATGATTTCCTCTTTGTATGCTCGAGCACTCGACAGACTCTCCGCACGTCGCCCATTCATGATTTCGCCTGCAACGTGCGTACCGGTGCTGCTCTTTCCACGTATTCACGCGATTCACACAGACGCGCGTTCATAAAGCGTAACCTGGGGGCCAGACACTTCCTACGGCATATATTAATACACATATACGTAAAGAGTAATTGTGTTCCGCTGTATCGTAAAAGGGGATGGAGTGTGGTCTGCAACATCCTTATTACGGGACTGATTAAAATAATTAGCGTGACTAGAAGTTAAGCGTGAACTTGCCGACCGGTGTAAAGAACACACACGATCAAGAGGTGCACGGTGTTGGTATCCTGTCGCGTAACCATCACTTACGTCAACCAGTCAAGTGTCTTGCGATAGAATATGTTATTAATTGGCCTAAACGTTGCTCAACCATTGTGCGCTGGCACAGTCGATGGGAAGAAATTCTTAGACCTGAGAATGAGCGACTGGTCTAAAGATGGAAAAAGAAAAAGGTAAATTTTCGTCTCTTCAAAAGTAAATGACCAAAAGAATAAATTTGTCACGGGATTACGGCCAGAACGAGAAGACAGCACTTTGAAATAAAGACAAGATCTTTCCGTGAACCTACCCAGGATAACAGCCAGCGTTTAACTATAGCGTAGCATTTAACTTATTAGTATAGAGGCTACCGTTTGCGTCGAACGAGAAAATTACGCGCAACCGGTTTCCTGAAAAGTATTCCGTTTAAAAACCTTCTCCGTGACCACGGTTGCGAGCCTACTAAAATCCTATACAAGCCGTCAATTAGCTGATATAAATCGCAACGCTTATTTGCGACTGCGAGTGATCGACGAGTTTACGATCGCAGAAAAGCGGTAGTGCTATACCGCTCGCCTCGATCTTGTAAATTATTACGTGCGTACCGTTCCGGAGAACCGTGGAAAGGGTCGTAAAACGGTTTCAACGAAGGCTTTTGATAAGCTTGATGGAACAACGGACCATATCAATCAAATCTATGACACATTTTCTCTCATTCACTGTCCGTAGGCGTCATATGTAACCTATAAACGCACAGGAACGATTCATTCGTATATATCGGCCGATAGCAGTCAATACATATCGACGTGTTACGAGACTTTTGTAGTTCATGACTCATGAAACCTTATCGATGCTTGATTTTTATTCTACCACGCAGTGACAACACGGACATACCGAGAATGCATGAACATTTAAATCATAGGTATCACAAGAGAATAGAATGCCAGATAAGAAAATAGTTAAGTTAAATAAATTCTTCTTCTGATTATTTTCATGTACAATTCGCATATTTAACGGGCTATTATTTAATAGGTTTTAATACGCTATTGGTTCCTTTATTTTGAAAAAATTACGTAACTTCCTGTAACGATGATGAGACGTGAGACAAAAATAGGATGATGTGTTACGCCGGTAAACGCAAACGTTGAGGCTCGAACGCACATAAAACCGACTTTGTATGCAATAAAGTTCGCACTGGTTGGGGTTTACAGGCCACCCGGTGAAAGGATAACAGAGCGTGGCTCTATGGTACAAATTTTTAGCGAGCATCTACAAAGTTTCCGACAGAAAAATTTCCTAACCGGATCGATGAATCACAAACGGCCACATCATCGAGATCATCCGGGATTCGGAACATTCGGTGTGTACACGGGGCAACGTGATTTGCGTTATAGAACGCGGGAATTATGTAATGCGTTCCGTTTATTTAGAAGTGGTACGCGTAACCGACCAAATGTCGCGCGAGAACGATAACAGTCTACTTGAGAAAGAGGCGTGCAGTTACAACAATAAAACGACAACCTTTTACACGCCATAACTTTACATACCGATACCAATATATCTCGACTACGATCGGAAACAATGATCCGACGAGTGAAATCTGCAAACTCGACTCAAGAATCGTGCACCAATTACTTCTCACGCTACAAATTGCGCTCCCATACATTTATATCGCGTAAAACAGGCCTTGATCTGCCATTTCGGTCCGTACGACCGTAGCAACCGCTGAAACGATCGATCGAAAAATTGCATTTGTCCTCGAGTACGAAGGCAAGCCGTGCATGATGCAGCACAGGAAGAAAGGAACCCGCTGAATTGACCGTCATTTTGATAAATACACGCTGAACAACAAAATGATCGTAATTTTCGAGCAGGAGGAGATGGAGGATGATCGACGCAGTCGAGTACAATTCATGCGTGTCGCGATATCTCTATTATCCATTACATTGCCCGTTGTTTCTAAGGTTGTTCGATTGCGAAGTGTCGCGTAATTTTGCGTCGACTGCTTGTCGAGAGTCTCAGGAGGAAGCAGGTAGTCCCTAAAAGGGGACAAGGGAGTAGAGAGAGGGCCCGAGGGCCTTCTTGATATACGACAGCGTGGAATGCGAAAGCGTGGGTTCGCTTCGGTTCGGCTGAAACGCGATCTCGATCCACATCGAAGCAGGCGAGGGCCGCGGGCTAAATACACGCGCGAGCGCGCAACGGTACTCCGTGCGAGCGATCGCTCGACCGATCGCTTCTCGTAATACGTTGTTCAATGTATCATGTATACACGCATGCAGACGTGTATGTATGGGTATCGCATAAGAGCGTTTTCACTGTCTCCCGCGAGGAGAACGCGCGCGTTACACGCACGTAGCCAGAACTCGAAGAACTGGAAAGTGAACGAGAGAGCCCTGTTGCTCGTTACGTTGCTTCCCTCGCGGCGTCCAATCGCCGGAGGAAAGGAGGGAATATGTACTTTCTCCTCAATCCGTGGCATAGTCTCATCCGCGATATCTTATTCTAAGCTTACATGCTCTCGTTGTTATTGGCAATGGAGACAATACAAGGCGACAATACAAAAAAGACGAGTGGGAATAATGCCTTCGAGAGATACGTGGTTGAAGTATTTCAAGAAATATCATGAATATTGTTTATAACGTAGTTGATGCATCAATGGTTAATGCAGAATGACGGTAATGGTCTGTTTCTAGCCATCAATATGACATAATATGAAAAATAAATCTGGGCAATGCGTACTTATATGACATACATTTTTCATAATATTGTCATACGACTGTTCGATCTTTATAGTCACGAGGTGGTTATTGTAAGGAATACCTAATAACATATAAACCTTTAGGACTCGTCTCATGTGTATGAACAAAAAATTCAAGCTTAGATTTCTTTGAAGTATCGATACTTTATAAGAAGAAAACTTTTTTATATATCATAATTAACGCTACCCTGGGATATCAAACACAGAGTATAAAATACGTATAATGCGATTAAGTAGCCGTATAATTGGCAGCGCGATAAAGGCCGTTTTAAGGGCAATCTTAGGGATCGATACCAGTTATTTCTCTAGGTAACGATACGATACGAAGCTTAGCGGTGCTTGCAGTTGCATTGTTAGGACCGTTCTGAATGGCATAACCCGTCGCAGAGAGAACTGAATGAGGTGGCCCGAAGGCAGGTTGCTAGTCCCCAGAATGTATGATGACTGACTTAACTGGAGTGGATAGAGCGTCTGGGTCCACGGTATAAAT